GCATATGGAACATCTCATATTCTTGGCTTAACGTGTTGAGCCTTGATCTTTTTACTTCTGTAGTTCCTTCATGCGTTTCCACCAAGGTGTCCCAAATCTCTTTTGCCGATCTACACTGTGATACACGGAAGAATTTGTCCATACTAAGAGTGCTTTGGAGTATGTTGATTGCTTTCTTCTCATCAAGAATCTTTTTCTTATCATTTTCATCATACGTGCTTTTCAACTTTGCAGTTCCAACGCCATTGACCACATTTACTAGATTGTGTGGTCCTTCTTCGATTGCTTCCCATATACCTTCTCCTTGGGCTTCAAGATGCGCCTTCATTATGATTTTCCAGAAATCGAAATACTCTCCAGAAAACAGTGGTGGTTTATTACTACTTCCACCGTCTTTGAAAACCGGGTTGGTGCTAGTGGAAGCCATACTTAATCTTTTAGGAACAGGTTACCTTAACCTGCTCTGATGCCAATTGTAAGTTCAGAGTATGCCTAAGAGGGGGGGTGAATTAGGCTTAAGAAACTTTTTTCGGTTTTTCGATATTCTTGAATTTTACTTGGTTATGATCTTGATGATGAAAGCAGTAAAAGCAGAAAGAAAAATGAACACGGAGATTTATAGTGGTTCCCTTCACAATTCGAAGGTACTCCACTCCCCTTTCCACATGAAAGAGAGTTTTCACTATAGTTTTAGAAAGTACAACCTATCACACCATCAACTGGTGAGGCCTACAATCTAACAACTAATCAACAATTAGTGTGCAAGAACAATCCTCTTGCAAACACTACCCCTTGTGTCCAACAATCCTGGATCACAAGTCACAATAGAAATAACTTTGTATTTTTGTAATTTTGAAAGTAATACAATGATACTATCAATCTAATGATTGATCTTCTCCTTTTGATCAAAATCCACTCTTCAATATCAACACAAGTGTTCAAAACTCAGGATATGAAATGTATGAACAATATGAACACTTTTTGAAAATATTTGAAAATATTTGAAAAGTAGTAAATTTGATTCAATGAATATTTTGAATATTATTGGAGGTTGTTTTCAATTTGAAATTCTCAGAATTTATATGAGCAAAACACCATTTCAAAAAGGTATAATTGAGTATGATTCAAATAATGAAAAGGTATAATATTCAAACAACATTTGAATTTTAACAGCAACAATTTTCCAAAATTCGTTCAGTGTTAATCGGTTAACCCTATAGGTTAATCGGTTAACACTTGAACGTTGGTCCAAAGAATTCAAAAATCAAGGCCGTTAACCGATTAACCCATATGGTTAATCGGTTAACACTGTTAAAACTCAGAAAAATGCTTGAGTTAAAAAGTGTTATACCAATTCAAATGATTTTAAAAACATGCAAATGCAAAGTGTTAATATGATAAATTATTTGAACACTTGTATATCAATTAAAGGAGTGAATATTGATATACCGAAGCTTGAGTCCAAATCTTGAAACTTGAATGAACATTTGCACATGATGCTTCTGGTTTTATCTTTAGTGTATATACCCCCACGGGTATATAGTGCAAGCAGCTTCTTAGTGCATATACCCCCACGGGTATATAATGTAAAAAACTTGATCTTGATCAATTTTGAAAGCTTTGACTTTTTGCTTGCAATCATGGAATGAGCTTGAGTATTTGTTGACATCATCAAAACCTTGAGATTGAAGTGTGCTTCTACAAGTATTTGTGTTAGAACAATATTGGCACCCTAACAGTTTGTTATTGTGTATCTTTAACAAACAGCTTTGATTCTGACTCTTGAACGTGAAACTTTACAAGTTTCTGAATATGTTGATCTAAATGGCTTCTGCTCAAACTCATGGATGAGAAGCTTCTAAGAAAATTGTATGTTGCTGCTACAACATTCTCTTGGCTCTTACTTCTGACAAGTGACTCCGATCAATTCACTTCTGAAGACTGCTCAAAGATTAAACGCTAAAGGTTCTAAAAACTCTAAAGAATCTCAAGTCAGATATTGATGTGATCAAGCTTCTGATTGATGATTGAATTTTCTGAACTCAAGCAAAATCAACTCTTCTATATCATGCTTCAAGAAATGATTTATGAAAAAGCCACTGAAGAATATAAGATAAGAAAAAGTTTATACATGGGAAAAATAGTATATGGTACAAACCAATATTCCTTCCACTAAGAGTATTTCATGGAGTAAGGAAATTGAGGTAGTACGATTCTTATCCCCTCCGTATCAAACATTTACTTAATTCGCTAGCTCATTCATGAAGAATACAAGATCTACCCTTCAACAGGTCTTTTTTACTGGCTATATAAAGACTTGAAGACTTGAAGAATTACAACATGCAAGTAAGAAAGCAAGCAATCAAAATAACGAAGAAACTTTTACAAGACTGTCGTCTAAATTTGTGCAAAATTTTCTTTAAGTGTATTGTGCTTTTAACTTGTTTATACCTGCTTGTGTAGAAGCATTCTTTGTAAACACAACTTTGTAATCAAAATGTTGTTTGTATTTCCTTAAGGGACCGGTTAGGTCAGAATCCTTGAAAAAATATAGACTGTGTGTCTTTATGGTTTGTTAGTCACCAGCGGTTGCTAGTGCAATTGTAATCAAACTGTTGTTTGTATTTTCTTAAGGGACCAGTTAGGTCAGAATCCTTGAAAAGACATAGATTGTGTGTCTTTGTGGTTTGTTAGTCACTAGCGGTTGCTAATGCAGTTGTAATCACTTGATTATAGTGGATTAAGTCCATGGGTATAAGGTGAAATCACCTTGGCATGTAGACTAGATTAACTTTGAGATTTTCAAGTGAACTAGTATAAAATTTGAAGTGTATTTCTCTTTTTTTATTAGCGGTGATTTTTTATGAGTGAGAAAAAAGCTTTTGTTTTTGCAAACCCCAATTCACCCCCCCCCCCCCTTTTCATGTGTTTTTCTCACGTTTAATGTGTGTGTGTGTGTGTGTGTGTGTGTGTGTGTGTGTGTAAGTGTGTGTGTTTGTGTGTGTTTGTGTGTGTGTGTGTGTGTGTGTGTGTGTGTGTGTGTGTGTGTGTGTGTGTGTGTGTTTTGTGTGTGTGTGTGTGCGTGTGCGTGTGTGTGTGTGTGTTTGTGTGTGTGTGTGTGTGTGTGTTAGAACAAGATTTGGTTATGCATATGTATCTCTAAGTTTTGATGATACCAAGTCGGTATTTGTGTGAGAATAATTTTGGTACCCTAACGGTTTGTTATTGTGCATCTTTAGCAAATAACTTTGATTCTGACTCTTGAATGTGAAACCGTACAAGTTTCTAAATATATTGATCTAAATCGCTTCTGCTCAAACTCGCGGATTTGAAGCTTCTAAGAAAACTATATGTTGTTGTTGCAACATTCTCTCAGCTCTTGCTTCTGACGTGTGACTTTGATCAATTCACTTCTGAAGACTGCTCAAGCTTTCAAAGATTAAACGCTGAAGGTTCTAAAAACTCTGAAGAATCTCAAGTCAGATATTGATGTGATCAAGCTTCTGATTGATGATTGAAGTTTCTGAACTCAAGCAAAATCAATTCATCTAACTCATGCTTCAAACAACGATTTATCCAGAAGCCACTGAAGAATAGAAGATAAGAACAAGTTTATATGTGGGAAAAATAGTACATGGTACAAATCAATATTCCTTCCACTAAGCGGATTTCATGGAGTAAAGAAATTGAGGTAGTATGATTCTTGTCCCCTCCGTATCAAAGCGTTACTCAAGTCGTCATCTCATTCATGAAGAGTACCAGATCTACCCTTCATTAGATATTTTTTACTGGCTATATAAAGACTTGAAGACTTGAAAAATTACAGCATGCAAGTAAGCAAGCAAGCAAGCGAAATAACGAAGAAATTTTTACAAGACTGTTGTCTAAATTTGTGCAAAATTTTCTTTAAGTGTATTGTGCTTTTAACTTGTTTATACCTGCTTGTCTAGAAGCAATCTTTGTAAACACGACTTTGTAATCAAACTGTTGTTTGTATTTCCTTAAGGGACCAGTTAGGTCAGAATCCTTGAGAAGACATAGACTGTGTGTCTTTGTGGTTTGTTAGTCAACAGTGGATGCTAGTGCAATTGTAATTAAACTGTTGTTTGTATTTCCTTAAGGGACCAGTTATGTCATGATACTTGAGAAGACATAGACTGTGTATCTTTGTGATTTGTTAGTCACCAGCGGTTGTTAGTGCAGTTGTAATCAACTGATTATTGTGGATTAAATCCTTGGGTATAAGGCGAAAATATCTTGGTAGGTGGACTGGATTAACTTTGAGATTTTCAAGTGAACCAGTATAAAAATTGAAATGTATTTCTCTTTGAAACAGCGGTGATTTTTATTGAGTGAGTAAAAGCTTTTGTTTTTGAAAACCCCAATTCAAAACTCCCCCCCCCCCCCCCCCCCTGTTAAAACTGATTAACTAATTAAACTAAAATTAACTTCCTACTCTAATATGCATATTAAAGACAAACACTTTGAGTTTAGATCTAATTTCGTTATGAGAAGTTGAAAGTGACATGCGATTTTCAAAATTTGATCACTAATATGTTGAACCACAAATTGCTTTGAAAAGTTTGTGTTATTATATTTTACATTAGCTAACATAAAAGAAATCTTTTACCATCTCATCCAAGTGTGGGTCTCTCCAATAGTAAAGACTATAATAATAACTCATAATTTAAAGAGAAACACTACAATTGCAATCAATATCGCAACACTTGTATAAACCCAAATTGTAAAAGCTTTTAAACGACCACAATACAGCCGATTTAAAATCTTGACAATAAGTATATTTTAGAACTAACATTGATCAGTTTCACTGGACAGACCATGGTAAAATATACACATTAGTACATTTTCTTAAACTCAGAAATCAGAGGCAATTTATATCACACAGTAAATTCATTATCATGCTAAGCTTCTCTATTCATTAACTTTTGCTTAGCAGTCACATAAAAATCTCGCCATCATCATCCCTTAAACTCATCCTTCTAATCACCATCGTCGTCGTCATCTGAGCTAGAATAATCCACTCTCCGCCCTGCAATAGCCGGAAACAATCGCCTATGAAGATCAGAAGACTGCGTCTGCGGCAACTGAGACTGTTGGCGTGTATCCGGAGAAGACGGAACTGACACTGACGGTGATGGAGTTTCTTTCTTATTAGAAGCCTTCATAGACTTCAATGTAGCTTCTTTCACTTCCTTGCAAACCTTATCCAATATTATCAAAAAATCGCGTACGATCAAAAACAAACGCAGTCCTTCATCTTTCCCTGCATTTCCATGAAAATAATCTGCTGTACTCTTAACCAATCCCATTATCCTCTTCTCTTCTTCTACAAGCCACGTTACCTCTCCTTCCACATGTTCCATAAACTTTTCTAAACAGATTTGAAACTCACTCTCTTCTTCCAAATTCTTAAGATCAGTGTTCAAAAAGTCCCGGCTCTTACCCAACGAATGGCCGATTTTTGAAACCGCGTTACTCAATGCATCACCGTCTATTAGTGCTGCTTTTTTAACATCTTCAAGTTCATTGCTCAAGCTTGAAACTACTTGAAGTCCAAGGCTACGATAGTGTTCTTCTGATTCTTCGTTTTCGTAATCTGCATCCTCCGTTCCTAAGCTGGAAAGGCTTCTGCTTGCTCTTTCGGTGCTTACTGCTCGTATTCCTTCTGAACGTATAATTTCTTGAACCACAAAGTGTAACAGTGTTGTTTTTCCATCTGTTCCTTTTACGTCCGAGAGTTTTAAAAGTGTGTCGAGCCTAAATGCTTGAGCACCACCGCGATATGTACCGTCGTTCATTCGGTTTCCGGTTTTGAGTACTGCTTCTAGTAGTTTTAAGAATAACCTGCTTTTTCTCAGCTTATCGCAAGCAACCTACCATTGATAAAATGTAATAGTATAATTAAAATCGAAATCCTTCAAAATAGTTAGCATGAGAGTACAAACATCAAGATTTAAAATACATTTGTAGGAGTTTGAGTGATTACCTCTAATGTTGTGAAGGAATCCTTGATGCTTGAGGACTCTTCTCGAAGAATCAACATGAACATGAGAGATTCAAGACGTTTGAAAGCGAATGGAATGTCAACCAGTACTTTTAGAAACCGCTCAGCTGGACCTAGTTGAGATAGTTCTCCAGAGAATAACCTAAGTTTCAGTTCCTCTTCTTGTGTTGGTGCCATCTTCAACAGCGTTTGGATAAGCTCCACAGGAATCTCGTTACCTGATTCAATCAATAATATTCCATAATGAGTTTGTGTTGTAATTTGCAAATCTTAATCCTAAAGAAATGCTAAAAAAGATATAAATGTTTTTTAATGGAACATTTTTATGAATCTAAGTCCAATATGTGAGTCCTAAACCTAACACATTTATGAAACAGTGATCATAGTGAAAGTATATCATATATATTGTCACCGTACCTTCGTTTAGTGCATCAACAACTTCTACTGTTGTAACATTCAGAGCACGTAACAGAATTGATAAATTCTGTGCTTTCTTAGGGTCAATAATCTGAATATAATGTACTGAAGTATCTAGAGAAGGTGAATCTTTTCTACATTCGTTTTTATTCTGGTTGGCGCAACCAAATAAAGACTCCATCATTTCTTCATTGAACCTGATAAGTAGTCATAAAGGTCAGTGCAATCTTCTTGAGCCCTTTTAAGATAAATAACTTAATTAAGTGCTTATAAAATAAGAGGTTATCGTTTATGTTTTTGTTAGTTCTATAACAAAAGATGATATAATTAACCAAATTATTTTCATATAAACTTTAAGTACTGTTCATGAGCTATCCTGGAGAGCTTGTGGAAATAAGCTGAAAAACAGCTTATAGACATGTTCATGAGCTGTTTTCATACGATTTTCAAACAATTTTACAAGTGCTTACTCCAGGAGATAAGCTCGAACAAGTAAATACAAACATGTTTGTGTCCTAATGAAAATTTGATGTTTGAGAAGAGTTAGTGTTCTTACACAAATGACCCTGCATTGATCTCATGCCACACCATTGATTGATCAGGTTTTGCATTAACCTTGTCCCAAAAGAACGGCTTTAGTTTAGGCTTTGGAGCATCACCTTCCCTAGAACTTCCTTGTTTTGGCGGTCCAAGAGGTATACCTTTGTTTTTACCTGCCATTGGTTTGGGAGGAGGAGCGGGTGGTGGTTGGCTGGATTTTGGAGGCGGTGGAGGACGAGGAGCAAGCGTGGGTGGCCGTGGAGGAGGAGGCGGCGGTGGGCCAGGAGGCGGAGGGGCTGGTATTCCAGAAGAAGTTGCTGTTACTTGTCCTACATCTTCTGATGTTGATGTTTCAGCCAGTGTGATATTGTTATTATCTCCGGCCTTCATGGACCACTTTCTTCCACTTGATGAACTCTTTCCTTTGTTAATAGCAACACCAGATTCTTCTATATTAGTATCTCCTAAACGGACAATCTTCTGAGGACCTGAAGTAACAAGAAGTAAAATTTATGACTCAAGAGTTATACGGCTCTCTAAATATACACCCACTTACAATTTCAAGTACAGTTTGTACGTTTAGTCATGATATATATACTATGTCAGACAAAAAACGCAAGAATATATATACGCATACCTCCAGAATAATCATTTGAGGTTAATATGAGAAAATGGTCGTCATCTCTCTCCACTTTATTGGTTTTGGCCTCACGATAGCAAAGGGACAATCCTATCAAGACTACGATTCCTGATAGAGATGCAGCTAAAATAATTGTTTTCTTCTTTCTTTCATCACGGTTAAGTGAAGGCGGCAGCGGCGAAGTTACCGGAACACTTGTTATCTGAGATGGAGGAGCAGATTGACGCGGAGGTGGTGGTAACTGTGCAAAATTATCTGGAGGGAGTGGTAAATACGGGATTCCAGTACTAGTATCAGGAACAGGAACAGGAGTAGTACTAGGAACAGGAACAGGAGTAGGTGACGGTGTTGAAGAAATTGTTGGTGTTGAGACATGAATTGGCGCTACCAATGAATGCTTGGGGGATGGACTATTATCACTAGACCTTGGTGACAATGGTGAGAATGGTGACAATGGTGATATATGATCAAGTGGTGTTTCTGCGATTGAATTTGTTTGATGACGATGATGATGCTGATGATCGTTTTTTAAAGCCAAGGTTGATCTAGAATGTTTTGTTAGCAAGAATCTTGAAGACGCTTTCAATTCAGAAATAGGTGCTGGAGGAGTAGCACTTGTTCTTATGAAGTTTGAAACTTGTTTTTTCTTATGGATGTCACTGCTTCCTTCCAATGGATGCAAGTTGATGTCTTTAACATCATTGTTCTTCTCTGTCAATTCTTTCCTGCAATGTTTCCACACATTCTCGGCCTGTATAAGAGAATAGTACTATTCAATATATTTCAAAAGGTTTAACTAATATGTTACATGATTGGCACTATGCAAAACATGTATTGATAAGATATTTATGCAGCATGGACACCACTGAAATAAGATGTGTCCGCGTCTGTGTCAGACGCCTACACCGGACACTAATAATTGTGATTTTTCTAATTTAATTTTTCTGATGTCGACAGTGTGGTGTCCAGTGTCTTGCCTCTGTGTCGTGCTTCTTACCTGTTTTCGATGAATATCGAGGAAAGGTGAGGAAACAGGAACATCTCTATATAGCTCATCTTCTTTCCCCTCTGAACCCCCATGAGCCAAAGCACAAAGGAGAATGACATAAATAACCGCACAACTGGTTCTTGTCAATTCCATTGCTTCTAAATTCACCAACACAACCCAATAATTCTTTGTTCATATCTCATTGAACTTTTAAATTCCTTCCGATTCTGTAAAACCCTTTACCTTCCAATATCCAAAACTTCACAAATCACTAAATTTTTCCAAAACCCCACGAACGTTGAGAATTTCACGGGATCTTATGTAACAACAATATTGCTAGAATAATGAATGATGAATAGGGAGAGATTCAGAATAATGTATGAATATTTTATGATGATACAAATGTAACGCCACCACGAACGTTACGTGAAGAGAATAAACCAATTCATGCAGAGGTGTAAGTAACAAAAACAAGGGTTAAATTGAACCTTAAGGTTGAGGGTTTAATGTTTGTTTATTAATTTGAAAACGCAATGCAAGAATTTGTGTCGTTAAGAAACGGATGATACGAAAGTTTGTATGATGTGCTGGGTGTCGATGGGAGGCAGCTTCAGAGGAGAGAGAAAAACAACGATGCATTGAAAAATAAAATCTAAAAGGGACGTGGGGAGGACAATGTGGGACAACCGTGATCTTATGTCTTTAAACATATTTTGCTATTGTAACCCCCAAAAAACATGTGTTTATACCATACTACCACAACATTAGTTTTTATTTATTTATTTATGGCCCTTTGTTTGCAACTAACACATCTGACTTAGAACTCTAGCTTACCATAATACATGTAAATTTTGATGAACAATTTATTTGTAATTTGTAACATAAGTATTTATTATAACATTTGTAATTAGTAAAAGTACAAATGCGTGACACTGCAAGTGATTAATAGTTGTTAGATATTTTAAAATTTATTATAAAGTTGAGAATTGACTCACGTGGGGTGAAAAATGATGTATGTGTATTTTGGTGAGTTACTCGTCCCCTGTCACAGGTATTTATAGTCATTATAGGTCTTGATCCAAGACTTCCTTAAAAATAACAACAGTTGAGCAAGTGGATAGTTTACCTCATAATATTCAGAGGAGTGTGATCCAATTTCCTCATGATTTGTTTCATGTCGTTATGGGATGAGGATATGTCACTCCCCGATTCTCACGTCGGACGACTTATCTTTGAGGAACGAGATATATCAAATAGAAGGCAACACAACTAATATACAAGTAATTGATTTGATTAAGGGGTGACAGAGAACCCTAATGTCGCCTCTTACAACATTTACTAAAATATATCGATACACAACACCTCAAGCACATGAGCTTGGGAAAGGGCGAAGTATTTAGTTTATTATTCCGATCTGGACACTCTAGGAGAATCGAAAGTGATATAATCTTAAGTTAAAATCTTCATACAAACACTAGTGGAATGCCGCAGACGAGACACTAGTTGAGTCCATAAGGCAGGACACTAGTTGAGTCTTTTAGGCGAGAGGTGGGCCTCCCATGCGTGGGTGCGTCTTGACATATTTACAGGTGTCCAGACTGTGAGTCATACGTTAGCTAAAAAATTTGAAAACTTTTGTTAGAAAGAGGAATGTGCAAGGAATTTAATGTCATTAATGATGACTTAATCTTGGGACACCCAATCGACCTTATTATTCTAGAACGTGGCAAAACATGCATAACCTTTGACATCTGATTGAAAACTTGTGGGACCTTTGATTTCCTAATCTTTCCTCTCATATTTAAGGGATGAACCCAAACTTTTTCAATTTTCCACACACTTTTCTGCTAAAGTTTTCAAAATATTTCTTCTACCATCCACAATTTTCGCTTCTCCACGAGCTCAAGTTCATATATTACACAAGTACAGGTTCAATACTTCCTTTTCCCCCATTTCTTTATGGCGATTATTATAGATTTAGATGGGGATAGAAATCTATTTTAACACTCAACTCGTGATAAACGTATATCCCTATGGAGCTATTGTTATAGGAATGTTAGGCATACTGACGAGACTATTGATTGTAGATTAATGGAACTAGGTAAGTTTGGCAGCTGCAAGAGTTCTCTTAATTATGATAGTGGTAGAAGTGATGGTAGTGATAATGGCACCTTTTTTTCTTCTATTTTCCCAAGAAAAATGAAGATCATGGACCTCTAACACTAAGCCCAAAGATGTAAGAGAAGTTGGGTCTATCTACACTACTAATGACCAAATAACCTCCCTTCTGTAGCAACTTACTTTATCTTCCTCCGATGATGATGAATAAATTATTTTGGAGGCGTGCTCTCTTGCAGAGAGGGCTAACGTGGCCCCCTTTGACGCCTCTTTCACTTTTTCCTTTTACTTCTACTTACCTGGCATTCACAAGGTTAGAGCTCACTTTTCATCCTCAAGCTTAGTCGGTGCTCAATGTGGCTCCCTTCCAAATCCCACCCAACGACTAGAGCTTGGTTATGACATTTTAGATTATATGTTAGCGGGTAGGGGCTTACCCAACCATCAGGATGTTTTTCTCTTTTTATGGCACTAAATCATCTGTTTGTTGGGGTTGGGTAACCCTATAATTTTTCCCGAGAGAGTTCTATTCAAACCCCATTCCAACCACTTCAAAGGTTAGAAGGAAAAATTTGTGAGAATGATGAAACGAGACAGTTCCTCTTCAGTTACTACAAGGGTATGACGATACCCCTATATTTCCCCTTGCCTGGATGGATAGTCCCGTGATAATCTATTAAGTGCAAATTTTGACTTAAATTGAACCATCTTTATTGGAACTTTTCAACTCAATTCTCATGTTATAACAGATGTATTTCTTGTTCTTGTGTGATTTCTCAATTATATTGCAAATACCTTTGGATTCTTTAATGTGTGTGTTATTTTGTAGAATATAGGCATAAAACATCAATTATTAAGTCACAAAGGAGTGGACAAGGATGCCAAAGAAATGAAGAGGAATCAGCATGTTCGCTATGCGAACATCAGCAAGCAGCAAGCGAATGTTTCGCTGTGCGAACTCCTGGCGAAGCCCCAGCAAACCATCTCATATTAAAGGTGTAACACCCTTATTCTACCCCACAGATAATACGGCAAAATAACACGGATTTCAGAGTAAAATATCAACTTTCATAAAAAGCCACAAAAGGGCGTACATTCTCATATTCATCAAAATAGGATCCATACTCCGTAACACACGAGTTTTCTCAAAATACATCAAAACATCATATACAACGGAACTCAAACATAGCTCAATGTTTTCATCATAAGGGAACATCAGTAAAATAACCCGATGATATACAATCAACACAAAGAACCCAACCCGATGTTACATATTAGAGCAAGACCCTCTACATTAACCATGAAGGCTAACGACTCTAAAACGTCACAATACTCCTCGACGGCGTCCACGGCTAAACTTGCTCATCTGCACGTTACCCACGTGGAGGTAACATTCAAACAGGCAGGGTGAGTAAGACAATTCATAATAATCAATGTATAACAATTAATGCATAAATGGCATATTACTCATAGTTATATTCAACACATTGATATCCTTCAATTATGCCTCAAAGGCCATAACGTCATAATTATACACAAAGGCTCATAACTACAAATGCAACATAGACTCAATGCATGTGGTACTAATCATCACAGCGCGATGGACACTGGGCCATCAACCCTCAATAGATCCCCATCAATAGGATCGGAGCACATCAAAATACTTCACATCCACACAGTGGGATTGAATTCAAAGTAATCGAGGTCCTGAACTGAAGTCCGGATGCACATGAATGCATGATGCACACTTCACAATAATCCTCATAATAACAGCATATGGTGCATCATCATTCATCATATTCATCATCATTACACCTTATATCTCATCGTCATAGTCATCATCATAAATCATGTCATCATAGCTCATCGTAACAATCATCATCATCATACATCATGTTATCATATCTCATCACAGTAATCATCATTATACAACATATCATCATATTTCATCACATTAATCATCGTACAACATATCACCATAATTCATCATATTATTCATCATACAACATATCATCATAGTCCATCATATTAATTAATCTCACATATCATGTCATCATATAATCACGTATAAATCACATATTAGCTCATAGTCATATTATCCCGTATTACCCCATATTAATTCATAGTACTACCGTCATATCATCTCATATTAATTTATCAAGTTATACTCACGGTAATTCTCACACTATCGCCTATCAATCACATAAACATCACGGTTCTACTCATGTTAATTCGCCATATCATCATATAGTATTCACATATTAATCCTTAATATCATCTCACATTGCCTCATATTCATTCATCATAATTACACTTGCGGTAATTCTCATACTATCACTTATTACTCACGCAACCTCACTGTCACACTCATAGTAACTCATCATAGGAATCCTAGAATCAAACGTGATGGCATCGCTGCACACGATCAACAATTGTGAATTCTGCTACGCTCGGTGGCTTGCTCTCTAGGCGATCCTGTAGCGAATGCTCGCTAGGAGAGTCTGCAGCGAATGTTCGCTAGCTTGCTCGCTAGGCGAACAACGCGATAACAGCATAACCTGCTACGATCAGACCTTCTCTCTACCCAAAATACTCATACGATTCATAACCCAATGCTCCTAAAACATCCCCAAAACATCTCTAAGGTCATACGGCGATAAGGACACAACATCTATAGTTTATTAGGCCAATCTGGCAACATTTGCACTGCCTAAAACACTATTCCCTGCAATTGTTCTGAGTACATCAGAGTTACTTCACATTTGAATATTTCTATTCCTACAGGGTCAAACATATCACAATCCAAGGTTTTGGTCACGAAGGCCTAAGGTTTCCTTTCTCATGTTACACATCAAACAGTCCGATAAGGTTTCCTAAATTCATGTCAATATTCAAGGATACATACCATCAATCATAACCTCAAAGTCTATTCATCAATTTCCTAATTCTCCCAAATCAACCCAACACATCCTAAATCATAAACCCCACCATAAACACACCGAAAGGCATACATAGAAAATCATGAAATGTGATAC